ACTGGGTTTCAGGTTTTGGATACTGTTTTGATTTTGGGTTGAGTTTCGGATTAATAAAAATGAAAAAATAAAAAAAAAAATTGGTTAATCACTGATCATTACCAAAATTATTTTTATAATAATGTCACGTGAAATACGATTATAAATAGTTTATTTATTAATTATTCAATATGCAAAAATCTTTTTTTCCGATGATAGTGATTAACATATAGTTGTGATTATAAAAAGGGTAAATAAATATTATATTTTTAGGACATTAAAATTAAGTGATTATAGACAGGATGTGATTATAAATAGGGTGATTATAGACAGGTCTGACTGTATTATATATATCATATATATTGATTGGTTTTAAAAAGTATTATAGAATCAATCTTATTAACTGGTCTAAAAACAATCTTATTAAAATTTATTAAATCCTAAAAATGTTATTTATAGTATTATATATGCTTTTATTATATTAAGTGATTATTCTTTTATAGAAAGTAAAAATATGCATTGATTTAAATATAAAAATAATAAAAGATGAATGACGAAATTCAAAAAAAGCAATTAGGTAATAAACAGCCGAAATTATATTAAAACATAATAATAGGTATGATGAAACCTTGAAACTTAAAATTAACTGAAACTATATTAAAAATATAGTAAAGGGAAGTAATATGCATTTTATGCTTCCAATCTTCCAAGTGCATATTACTGGTAAAGAGTATAATGAAATTATTTTGAGAGAGTTTTGGCGAGCATCTTTAACCTGAGATTACATAAATATTTATAATTTATATGAAGATTTAATCATTGATTTGTATATTTTTCATAAATAAATTATTACAAAATAAATTATAATAAATTATAATAATATATATAATTATTTTGAATTAAATATATAATATTGATGCTTTTTCTAATTTTAAGAATTTATTATATAGAAAAATATCTTAATTATTCAAATAGAAGTAAATTAATAGAGTCAAATAATAAAATATTAAATGTTATTATAAATAAAAATAATATATTAAACAACTCAAGATTATTTTATAATTTTTTAAAAAAGTTATAATTTAATATTTTCTTTTAAAAAAATTTTTGTCTATAAAAAAAAATAAAAATAATTAAATAAATTTTTTGATTTTATTTATTTTATTTTTAAAAAAAATTTTGTCTATAAAAAAAAAATAAAAATAATTAAATAAATTTTTTGATTTTATTTATTTATTTTATTTTATAAAATATATTGAATACATATTTATTTAATTAAACAATAAGATGTAAATAAAATAAAATAAAAGTATTTATATAATTATTTAAATATTTTACTTATATATAAGAAAGTAAATATAAAATTATAATTATTATAAATATAAATTATTTCATTACCTTTAATTTCTTTGAAATTCAATTTTTTTAATCAATATATTTTAATAATAAAAACAAATTTTATATTAAAATTTATAAATTAGTAATTATATGTAAAGATTATTCAAAAGTTAAATTATAATTAAATATTAAATTAAATACCTATTATAGCTTACTATTTAAAATAAACTAGTAAAAATTTTTTGTTAATAATTAATAATATAAAAATAATCTTATTTTCTTAAATTAAACTTACTAAATGCATTTTGAATTAAAATCTTTAAATATATATTGAATGATTTATAAAGCTTTTATTTTATTATTTCTAATACAAATATTTTAATTCAGGAATTTTTAACAATTTTATTTTTTTCCAAAAAAATTCAAAGCTTTCTTTAAAATTTTCTGTAATACCAGAATTATTTATATAAAGCTTGTTATAATATATATTTTCAAGTGAATCAAACCAAATTTTCCTTTCTTCATTGCTTTGTTGACTATCTATTTCATCAGATTTTTTCTTATAATTTTGAATATTATTTGATTTAATATTTGGTCTATTATAATCATATGTATTATTTAAAGAAAACTTTTCCAAATTTAAACCAAATATAAAAGGTAAAAATACTATGAAAAATGGGCCAAGTATTTCATAACTTTTTGTCAATTGTAAATATTCCAATAAATTATTTTAAATGGAACTTTTTCATTACAAAATTCTACATAAATGGAGCAAATAGAATTAAATGCGTAGGTTGTAATACCCTCAGGAATTTTAGTATCATCTTTTAACTTTAAGTCCACCCAAATTCTCGATTCAATAATATCATCAAAACATCTCTGTGTAATTTCAGATTTTGGACCATAAGATTTAAGTATCCAGTAATAAATATTCGAATTGACCGATAATGATCTAATTTCCTTTGTTGTTTTAATAGATTTGGCATTGAACTTGAATCCAACTTTATGATAATCTAATGCCTTCTTCATAGCATTTTTGGGTTCATCAATTATATCATTTAAAAATTCCAATAAATCGGTTTTCTTGAGATCCCTTTCTGGCTTGATTGCATGAATAAGACAAGAACTTGCAAGATCAGATTTTGATATTTTACGATTTACTTGAGATAAATTTTGAATCACTTGGAATGAATTCATTAAGAGATCACCGATTTCATTTAATCTATGTTCGAATAAGTGTAATACTTCTTCTATAACGTAAGAAGTTAGTTGAAATCCAAGTTTAATCAGATCTTCTAAACGAGCAACGATAGTCTGCACATTAGGACATTCCCAATGAATTGGTGGAGTTGGTGGGAAAAAAATCAATAAGGCACCTTGCATTACAAGTTCATTAACATCGCTACAAATTTCGTAATAACCAATTTCCTTCCACAACTTTACCAAGTCCGGATGAATTAATATTGCTCTAGCCACTACATTAAGTTGGCGACTGTTCTCAAAACCATCTTTTGGTGGATATTCTTCATGGGATCTGGCTTGCATTAACTGAACATATTCTACAGTATCTTCGTATTTAAGTTTTCTGCGTGGTGGAAAGGGGACAAATTTCTTTTTCAAAATCAAATCCTTAATTTGATTAAGATTTCGACGAAGCTTTTCAGGTGCTTGATTAATTACAAGAGGACCAGCTGTTAAGAAATGAAATAATTCCATATCATTCCCTTTAATTGCAAGTTCTTTATCATTTAAAATAGTATAACCCTCAGTAATTAATTTGGTGAAAATCGGTATAGAAATATTACTTCCCCAAGGTGAAGTTGTTTTCTTTTGAAGGGCACGAAGTCTATCAAAGTCGACTTGATTTACATTATACTCGACCTTGAGTTTAATAAGATTTTCATCATAAGTTCCAAAATGCATTAATAAACGTTGAATAAAATATCTAGAAAGTATCGCATTTTTCGAAACTAAAGCCTGAATCATTTCTACTGTTATGAAATTTTTGCCCAGCCTCACGGCGTGAAATAAAGCATGCGCTTTACCATATTTATAAATCAACCATTTGGCCCTGACATGAGGGTCTTGAGAAATATTATTCCATTTACGATTTGAAACTAAAAGGTTGATAGGTGTTGGTACATATTTAAATATTTCAATGTATAGTTCGTCATATAAAAACTGCATCGTTCGGAGAAAAATTTTTTTTCGTTTTGAAAATCCAATAGGAAAATAATATATTTGGAAACGCTGAGTAATGTCACACGATACACAAGCCCCTTTCCCCTTTCATTGATCGCCAATTATGTATAAATGAAAAATAAATATTTTAATAATCTGACTAACGCTAGACGTATTTTTTATTATTATTATTTTTTTTTTTTTAAAAAAAAAAGGTAAAATGTATTCTTTCGCCCACGTTATAAGGCGTAAAACATCCTTCAAAAATATAACAAAATGTTTATTATCAATAAAGTATACAATTTAATCATCTTTTAATATACTAATCTGTTCTACGACCATTTGTTAGCTAGA